TTTGCACTCGACGACTTTTTCGTTACAGAGAAATAGTAATTCGAAGATTCTCTGTCATATAGTAGACGATATTTTTAAAACTGTAAATGAGAAATCATATGCAAAATAAGACGTAGAATTATTTTTCTTCGACATGCCACACGTTGTTAGGTAATTTTAAATTTGATATATTAAATAACGTCGATCTTTAGAATCTGATTAAAGGGTGACTGAGATGCACCTCTCGAGTGCAAAGAGTTAATACGTATCAGGGATGATTATGGGTGCAGAGAAAGGTATATAAGAGTCAGTTATGGTGCACCAACGATTTTGCTTTTCCCATTAACGATTATCCTCCATTTTCTCACGCGGTTCACAGCAATCCTTCGAATTGACACATTAAAGAGAATGGCAGAGAGTAGATGCTCACGGTGAGGCAAACTCGCAGGTGTCTAATTTAATACGTAACAGGGATGATTATGGGTGCAGAAAAAGGTCGGATAATTATTCCATTGACTCAGGAATCCATCAAATTGGGTCGTGACTTCGGAACCCGTCGTCAAGAGGGTTCTCGTCTCACCGCGACGAACCGGTCTCCGCTGAATGCTGCTTATCACGTGGCCGATGGTAAATTAATGACACGCAATTAATGCCGACGATGAAGCTATAATTGCGTTCGCGCGTTCCTCCTGGAAATAGACGTAAATATTCATCCCGCGAATCCTTCGGCTCATCGATATTTGCAAATTTCATCTGACCCTGTCCTGCGTACGGTCTCCTCCTTCTTGCGCTCGGACAAGAGTAAACAACGATTTATAATGGAGATGGGAGAGGAGGAAAAAGAAAAGCAAGAACGGTATGAATCTTCGATTACCTTTGCGCGATTCGAGATACGCTGATCGGGAATAAATCAAGCATCTCTTTCCACATTCTCTGCGTACTCTTTCTCGACCTGTGCGGTCTCCGTGATCCAAGGTTCGCAATTACGAGATACCGCGCATCGATCATTCCACCGCGGACACGGAATACCTAGAACTATTCCGGCGTATCGCGGCCGAAACGTTTATCAGCAGCGCCATCGGACGCAACGGAAGTTGGCAAAAAGGCGGCGGCGGCGGCGGGAGGAACGGGAAACGGCGGTCGCCGGGGCCCGATCGACGCGGCCGGAACAGGAATGCGCTTTCAAGGTCGTCGTTTTCTGCTCCTCCTCTTTTCCCAGCCGGATAGAGCGGCCACCGGTGGTGCGTGGTCGTGAATTCGGGCGTCTCCGTTTTACGAGCCTCTTTGCTTTACGACCGTTTCACGGTTGTGCAAACGACCGGCACGAGCTACGAGTCCCATAACTGTCAGATCCTGCCACCGTTCACGGTCAACTGCGGATCTCCCATGGACCAGCTGGCCGCGACATCTCGCCGCTTATTCGCACTTTCCCCGTCTACAGCCACGCCATTTACACCCCTCCATGATCACCGGTCGTTGGTCCGTCTGCTCTAGGGCTAACGGTACACTAGGGTTCACGATTTTCCTTTTCCTTTTTATTTCTTGATCGAAAATGAGACGGAATGAAAGTACAGTGCCGATAAGATCGGCAATTGGAGGATCCAAGTGAGAAATATCGATGGGATTTGCGTATTTGAGAACAATTTTTATTTTCTGTGGCATCATCCTGCATCAGGATCTATTATACTTCGAGAAAAATTGACGAGTTGTAGGGTTCCTCGAAATTAGGTTTAATGACGCAATGGACTGGTGTCATAAAACTTATAGAAACCTTGCTGACGAGTTCGAAAGTTAAGTTAGGTTAGGTTAGGTTTACTTCATTTCATCAATTTATTTTGCTTCGAGGAAAACCGATAAGTTGAATGATTCCTCAAAGTTAGGTTTAATGACGCCAATGAGCTGGTGACATAGAGCCTAGAGGAACCTTGCTGACGAGTTAGAAAGTTAGGTTAGGTTAGGTTAGGTTTACTTTATTTCATCGTTTATCGATCATTTGACTAGTTATACTACGTTTAGCGTTATTAGGTTATGCAGATAATTGAACTGATCGAGAGAACTGGTTTCAGACCTTGTCTTTGTTGGCGATGTTTCGAAGGGCGAAATTTCTCACAGAAAACCCCGAAAACCGCTTATTTTGTACCACTAAGAAATTTAAAATGTAACAAAGAGTAGAAATTCTCGTTAAATATTATTAACCCCCCACTACCACACGTGGGTGGCAGGATAGACACGTTGTTCTGTTTTATTTAAACGTTTTGCGATCGAAACGCGTGTCGAATGGCGTGCCTGTTTCATTGGAACGTGTCAATAGCGGAATATTTCGCGCGAAAGATAAGGGATCGATCCGTTGGTTATTTATTTAAGATAGGAATTGCGGAGAAAAATTGGGTAACAGTGTCGGTTGATCGCGCTGATGAGCTTGCGTAATTAATCGCTGGGGATCAAACGCGCCGATACGCGGTCGTCGGACCTAGGGAAGAGTCGGCCGCGATAACGGGACGACGAACTTGCCTTTAGAGAGCGATAACAACGGCCAAGAGAGAGCCTTTCCGTGGGACAAAGAAATTCCCCGGCAGGAGCCATTTTGTTAACTAGAGGCCATCATAGCTGCCTGACGTCACTTCCATATCCAACTATGGCGTCACGTGACGCTCCACCCTGTTTTCAATCACCTTGGACCCGAACCCACCCAGCTGTCAGACACGCTCCACCCCGTTTTTTCCACTCTTTCTGGCTATCGCCATCGCCATCTGCCGGCAATAATACGAACTCCTTAGACCTTTAAACGGCTAGTTAGTTTATGCCTCTTCCGGTCGGTGTCACCACTGGGCAAAGCCCAATGACCTCCACTCGTGTCCTTGGGGAAGTTCAGGGCTGTCCAAAACAGTTGCCGACGATCATATTTCGCGATGGACACGGCGAAACTTCATTTTCCCATTTCTCCTGTCATTTTCGCCTGTCAGGAAGTCGCCGTATCCGTTACGGATTCCCGCTACGCGATTAAACGCCGCACGCCGCGGACGGCGAGCAGCAAAAACGTTTTCGTTCGGGAAGACAATGCAACGAGAACGTTTCCGATAATACCCAGGCGTGACGTTTTCCATTTCAAACGGTTTATTACACGGCTCGCGTAACAACCATCTCGTTTAATCGCCGCGCGTACGAACCTTCGTAACCTCTGACCGAACTAACCTCAGTTTTAAAAGCAGAAAAATAACAGAAAAAAAAAAAAAAAAAAAAAAAAAAAAAAAAAAAAAAAAAAAAAGAAAAATAATGAAGAAATAAAAAAGGAAAGAAAGGAGAGAAAAGAGAGAAGGTTAGACGGAAGCGAAGGGTTACGCGTGGTGCGTCCCGTTGCGATGGAAACGAGCCGTGAGCCTGGATCGGCCGAAAGGGGCCAGGCGGGCCGAGAAAAAGGAAAAGATGGTGGCGTTACGCGGCGGAAGGACAATGTTGCCGTTTTCGTGGGGCGAAAGAATACGTAAAGGCGAGTCCGTAAAGCGGGAATTGAGTTAAAATCCTGCGAGAGGTAGAATTTATACGCGATCGTGGGCAGCGGCGGCGCGGGGCACGGGCAGAGGACTCCGGAGCGCATGGAATCGCTATCGGCGGCCATTCATCAATCCGGGGAATCAATACGCTGGAATTAATGAAAGCGCCGCGCGAACAGCGAGCTAGCGGCCGGAATGTTAATCGCGATCGTCCCGCGTCCGACCCATTCCCGTGTACAGCAAACTCCCAAGGGCCCCACCTCCGCCCGAACCCTTCAACCTGCCACCCTGCCCCCCGCGCCACCCCGGCCCGCCGTTCGATCCCTTGTACATCCGCCCCCGTCTCTCTCTCTGCCCGCGTGCTCTCTACCATTACCAACACGACCACCGTGCTGCCCACAATGCCGTCGCACCGTACATTCTATTCTCTCGTCTGGAATCGCGGCCCTTTTTTCTTTTAGCGCTAGCCCCACCGACCATCCTTCCATTCTCTCCTCCGTGCACACTTCTGCTTCTGGCCAATTTGTACCCGTTCCACGAATGGCGGCGCCTCTTCCTTTCCATCTACTTTTAGAAATTATACCTTCTATATATCCTAACCGGTAAATTACTCGCGAATGTTCCAAATAATTCGAGACTTTATTCGCTTAACTCGGCCGGTCCGATTTCGTTACGCTTAAGAATCCATACGCGTCTATATTATCGCATATTTCTGTTTCACCGAGTGGGGCACGAAGCGATCGGTACACAGACCCCTGCCTCGGGACACGGTGCGAGTCAGACTGCTAACTTCAGGTTCGGAAGATCGGTCCGGAAGATTGAGGCAGATTCAGCCGATAAAGAACCGACGCACCGTATAGCCGGTTTCGGACTTTTGAAAGCACCGGTACTGGCGCGAAATTTGAATCGGTCTCCGCGACTACGGCGTGATCTATCAATAAATTTATCGATAAAATTAATTTTACTCGTTAAGCCGTCTATTCTGTTCGTTGTGTCGTACGAGTCTCGCTTATAGGAACTCGCGTTCGTTCGGATGTAGCGTTTTCTGGTTACGTACTAACGAGTTGCGCGAAAGCCGTGCCGGCGTGGAGTGTAACAAAAAAATTAGTAGACTGGGGAGAATGTCGACGAGGCGTTCAGTAGCCGTGTTGCTTAATGGACGGGAATTTTTCCAAATTTAACGATCGTTTAGCCCGCCCACACAGAAGGGCCAAGCGGAGTTCGTCGTCTGGGCGATGGCCGTCACCGTGACGAGCACGTGTGTATGACTTCGCCTTCTGTCACGAGAAGTCACGAGTCAAACGGTACTGCGTTCCTTTAGTTCGTCGGACGAAGATCAGCGAACGGACGCTTTACTTCGTCTTCGCGAGTGCTTCGATGTACGACGTGATCCCGGTCCGAGCGTAATCTTGGCGTATTTTTCATTCCTTCGAATTGCCGTTATTCCGGATTCTTTTTTATTTCCCAGTCTTCGATACCGTCTGCACGAGGTACGTGGAATTAATTCGAGCCGTGTTTCCGGTGTTACAGGTGCGGCACAACTTCGTTAGCAGGGTGGACAGAGGAACGGAACGTGTCTGGAGCGGCTTGGCGTTTTGAACGAAGGTACCACACCGAAGAAGAACTCTGATTACCATCTTACCCCCCTCGTGTACAAGTTTTAAACCTGCCCCCCCACTACCCCGCAGCTTGATAACTCACGGTTCTGTAGTGCTCCAGTTTCTGGTTTTTTCTTTCTCTATCGATGAGTCCAGTGTGATAAACGGGCAAAGGAACGAGACGCGAAAGGGAGAGAGAGAGAGAGAGGGAGAAAGAGAGGGAGAGAGAGCGGGAGAGAAAGAGAGAGAAAGAAGGAAGGTGGAGGAATCCGATGATACGCTAAGTGATTCACGGTGATGTTGGTGTGATACAAAAGAGTGTGCGCGCGCGCGTGTTGTCCGAGAGTGTGTGAGGAGGGAGGAGTCGCGCCGGAGGAGGTGATATTACATGTATAAATAATAGAAATATTCACGTATACGTAAGGACGTGTGCCAGTGTGTCCGTACGCGGGTATTCGAGTACAAAGGAAGAGGAAAAGGGAAATAGAAGGGAAAGCAGAGAGTTATTAGAAGCGAAGACGATAAGGAATACAGGATTTCCCCGGTTCCGCGGACAGGGGAAAAGGCGGAAGAGGAAGAAGCGGAAGAGGAGGAGGAAGAGGAGTCGTGGATGAAAAGGTGCGACTTAGGGATCGCGAGGACTAAGTACGAAGACTAATTGCGAGAGAAAACACGTAAAGAAAACAAGACCGAGGTGGCATTAGAAGGTGGGCCAGGTGGGACAGTAGCATGAGTTCGTACTTCGCGAATTCGTACATCCCGGACCTGCGTAATGGCGGGGTGGAACACCCGCATCAGCATCAGCAGCACTACGGTGCCGCCGTCCAGGTGCCCCAGCAAACGCAGTCGGTACAGCAGCAATCACAGCAAGCCGGGGATCCGTGCGATCCCAGTCTCCTACGTCAGGGAGTGCCTGGCCATCACTATGGGGCCGCTGGTAGCCAGCAAGATATGCCTTATCCGAGGTTTCCGCCGTACAATCGGATGGACATGCGGAACGCGACCTATTATCAGCATCAACAGGAGCACGGCAGCATGGACGGGATGGGTGGTTACAGGTCGACGTCCCCTAGCCCCGGTATGGGCCACATGGGACACACGCCGACCCCGAACGGACATCCGTCCACTCCTATTGTCTATGCGAGTTGCAAGCTTCAAGCGGCCGCGGTCGATCATCAGAGTAGCGTACTCGATGGACCGGACAGCCCGCCACTGGTCGAGTCGCAGATGCACCACCAAATGCACTCGCAGCATCCTCACATGCAGCCACAGCAGTCCCAGCATCCGCAGCAACAGCAGCAGCACCAGCATCTTCAGGCGCAGCAGCAGCACATGATGTACCAACAACAGCAGCAGTCGCAGGCGACGTCCCAGCAGTCCCAGCCTGGCATGCACCCGCAACAGCAGCAGCAAGCTCAGCCACACCAAGGGGTGGTCACGTCGCCGCTTAGTCAGCAACAACAGGCCGCTCCTCAAGGTGCGGCCAGTGCCAACCTACCGAGTCCGCTCTACCCGTGGATGAGAAGTCAATTCGGTAAGATGGAGTTTCAATGTGGATGTCCGAAATGTGTTGCTTTGTTAACGCTAGATCTTAACTCGCCGTGATCGTTCCGATCCGTTTGCTAGGACAACTCGCTCCCATAGAGGTTGGATGACCGGTCCGGCGTGTGCATAGATTATCGGCACTTCGCGATCTCTCCTGGATTGCCTAAAATTCCTCCGCCACTCGCCCGAGAGAATAATCGGACTCAGTCGAGCAAGTGTTCGCGGTAGACACCGTCGAGCATGTTTATTCCAAAATCTTATCGAACCACTATGTGTCTATAAATCTAAAAGAGCAGGAAGCCTAAGAGAGTAGTACAAGTCGAGAAGCAACCATGTTGAATCTTCCATTTGCATCCGAATTACCATGTCCGCTACCTTGACCTCTAGCACCGTACAGCGAACGTCGCTTCATGGGCACGTAAAAAGTTCCTCTATCTCGAGATAATACGGCGAAAAAAAAAGCAAGGAAAAAAGAAGGAACACGAATCTTACATTCGCAAAGTCGGAGAAGGCGTGATACGTGAGGCGGTTGTCGAAAATAGGCTCAAGGCTTTTCCCGCGCGACCAAAAGGTTCGGTAGAAAGCAAGATTTCTAGAGAGGACGGCAGGTAGTCGGCCGCTTTCAGATTTATGCAACAGTAGGTAAAACTAGACCACATTCGTACGGTTCGCAAGCCAAGATTGGCATAATGTCTCCAGTTTCTAGGTATACCGACATCCCGAGTTATTTATTGCCCTGACCTTTTAGCTCTCGCTGGTTTCACCACACGTACGTGTATACCTCCCCATAAAAGTTCTCTTGCTGGCTGCGTCCGCGTTGGCTCCGCGGCTTGGCAGAGTCTCCGCTCATCCACTTTTATTCCCATGATAACTCGCGGCTGCTTGTTTCCGCTCGATGTTACGCTGAACTAGTTCGCCTGCCCATCCTCCTTTCCCTAACAGCACCTTCTTCCGTGCATAAACTAGCCACTTTTGTTCCACGAAATCCGAATCCTTTCCCGGAGTCGAGCCGAAAGAGGGCTTCCAGGGGCCCACCTGCTCTCTCGAGTACGACAGGCAAGGTTTACCGAAATTTTCTCGGGCAACCGTGACTCGGAAGAATCACAGGGGTAATTTCGGGCTAACGAGTCGGGAATTTATGACACGGCCATAACCAAGTGATAATAGCCGTTCCCCTTAACCCGGAGGTATCCATCCCGGGTTGGGTAAGAGCACAGGTTCCGGCGCTCCATTGCGTTCGCTCTTCTTCCCCTCACCCCTTCTCCTCGTTGCTCCAAATCCGAGGAAACGCCGTAACCTTGCAAGGTCAGGCTTCCTCCATCCCTTTTTACCCCCTCGTTACCATTGCATTCGGTTGCTCGATGAACTTTGGCTAGTTGCAGTCCTAGTTACTCGCCTAGTTAGACGTTCGTCCGTTCGAGTCTAGTTGGGAAAGTGGATATTCTCGAGAGGTGTTGATTTTCGGGTGATTTTCTAAAAACTGTGTCGTCGAATGTTCCTCGAGTTTCATTTGCCCGTGAGTAATCGATTGGATATTTTTATCGACGTATTTTGTATCCTTAGTAACGTTCGGTAAGGTAAGCACGCGAAACCATCTCTCGGTTTAGTCGGAAAGCTGGTATCGAGCAGCCCGATTGGCCGATAAAAGGCTCGGTTCACGAATGACGAGACTGCTGGTCCATGCTCTCTGTTGCCAGTCAAAGGAAGAAAGAGGATCGAGTGCCTGAATCTGCTCACAGATGTCGGCACGCTTACGTCTTTGCCCCGCGTCGTCCACCGATACGTTCGTACCTCGTGGTTTATTTTGTAACCGTATTGATTTCTCGGGATCTTCGTCGTGTCTTTTCACGCGCGTATGGAAACCGTGGAAAAGGCTGTGTTTCCACGAAGAGGTTAACAAAGGGGTTCGATCGTTGGGTTATGTTCGAGATCAGCGAAATAATTTCTATGCGAGAAATTCTCTGCAACGAACGGTTCCGCCATCGCGCATGTGTTATGCGTTGTATTAGCCATTGGAAACAAGTTGGATCGAGTGACTTGGATTTCCAACAAGCTTCTCTGGTATCTGTTCTCGATACCCAATCGATCTGCGATTTTCCACGACTATTCGTCGGCGTTCTTCTCCGGTTAACACTATCCATTAGCTCCGCCACTCGATCCTATTACCCTTACAGGTCTACCAATCATGATAAACTTCATATCAATTTATCTAGCTATCCATTCGTGGCCGTGGCTGCCCGTTTCTTTCCACGTTGCAAAACACCAGCTGAGCTAAGCGTGCTATAAGCAGGACTCCATGAATAATGCATGGCTCAATTTTATAGATGCAGGTGCTCTCCCGGGCATTTGCCCGGTGAAACCGCCGAGATTCCCTGGCACCTTACGCGGGACATTTGCGTTACATAGGTTAGGAAATTCCGGCATAGTTGGCTGGCTCGCGAAACTCCGGCATGCGAGTGCGCATCGGTGTCGTTTACTGCCGAACATCACGAAATGCTCGTGAACGTGCACGACTTTCAACGTGAAAGCCTTCTCTGCGATGTTCCTTTGCTCCGGCTTTGATTTGTTGCGCCGATGATTTTCGTTTAACGTCTTAGCCACCTGTCGTGTCACGTGACAACCTCTGTCGTGTTACGGCCCTGAGCCTCGCATAATTAACGTCCTTATCGCGAATGGTAATGTCGATGTGCGTTAGAATGCAACCGGGGTTGCGCCGGTGTTGACAAAAGGTTGAAAAAGTAGCCGTTTAACGAGCTTGCACCGTGTGTTCGTTTTATCTGCGAAGGTGTCGCTGTCGTGAAAACTGCGCGCAATACGCCAAACTATTCCGAATATCACGGCTAAACATTGAGTTCCAGTGACAAATTAGTTAATACTAGAACTATCAAACATGTCAAGATAACGGGTTTCGTAGGTTTCGTTTCATTTTTCCAATTACAAAATCAATATTGACTTTCCTCGAGATAAGCGGAGAGCTTGCGTACACATATTTATCTGCTTGTTATTATTTATCTGCATATTAAATATTAATAGTCGCGGTGTTAAGGACACGGAATATCGTTGATACTGAATATTAATGCGAAACGTGGCGATTTAAATAGAGCGAAAAATTTCATTCACTGTTAACCTTAGAACTCGTGATAGTGGGGGCGCCTGATATACGTACATTTCGCAAAACATTCGGTATAAGCTTAGCAATATACGTGGTCAAACTCATAGGAACGAAGCGTCGCGTGAAATGTGATTTTTGTAGGAAAAATACGTAAATTTAACGTAAATATAGGCTAGGGGACGTTCCTTCCCCCCCTAGGGATTCGCGAGGAGAGTAAAGACTTCTAGGGAATTTCTAGGGTTAGTACTTGGCGCTTGTACACACGGCGAGGCATGTTTTCATCGGAGTCGTATAATTCCGTGGACGTGATTCCACTCTATCTTCCGGATGCACCGACTCTGAACTTCGGTTAATTGTTCATCGTCATCCGTATCTCGCCCTCGCATGCTATGCGAATATTCATCGATTAGCATTTTCTTTTTCTAATTGATTCTCCGAGTAGATAAAGCTGAAATCAATTGCGGAGAATGGTAGCGTCGGTGCATCCGCGGTCCGTGATCAAGCTAATTAGCTTGATGGAAGAAAGGAACGTCAAAATGGACTCCCATGCGGACGCGGCTTGCTCATACTGCAGGTTCGACCATCGGTAATTGCGATGTAGCAACAGCAACAACGGGCACACGCGTTATCTGCCAGGCCTCGGCTTATCCTGCGAAACGCATTATCATACGAAAAAATGTAATATTTCTCGTGGCCAGGGTCCATGAAACGCCATCGCGATGCCATAAAAATAACACGCGATGAGGTTATAATTCAGAAGTTCCAGCCACCGTGACGTTTCGAGAATTCCGCCGGATCCTCTGGATAAAATAGATAAAGCCTCGAAGGAGTAATCGTTTTCCGTCTGCAAATCAAATTCCCAACGAAATCTCTCACTGAAATCTGAAAACTCTGACTGACATCGGTTGTAATTATCGATATTGCGCCGTTGGTCGTCGAACGAGCGACGATTCGTGCGAATTCGCCCGTTGGTACGAAAGAGAGAACCTATCGGCGCTGGCGATGCTTTTAATGTGCAAGATAATTGCGATCCTTTTGCGTGAAAAGATTTATGATATCGAGTTCCTCCGACTCTGCCTGCCTCCGCTCTCCCCACTCCCCCACCCCCCTCGCCTCGCCCAACTCTACCCGCTTCCCCTCCCTTGCAAATAAGCATGCAGCGGTGCAGTTATACATAGGTGTGAGGCTTCCGTTATTGCGTACACGTGTACGTGTACGAGCGCCACATTTCTTATGTAATCCGAGTACTGACACGAATGCTTAGCGGACGAACAAAGTACCGCGGCGAAGAAACCGCACTACCGTCGAATTAATCGCGCGAAATATGTACGTAAATGGCCAATAACCGGCGCGCGCGCGCGTAATGAGGAATTAAAATGGCCCTCGCTGCTCCCTGCTTCGTTTTTATTTCTCGTACTCCCCTTTTTTCTTCCATTCCCCCGGCAAATGGAGGGCGCAGATTTATAGACTGGATACCATTTGTTCATCGAGGCACGTGACCGCGTTTATCTCGCGAAAATATGCCGGATATTAGCGCGCGCGTTTCGCTGCCTTGCGTCCAGAGGTCGTGAGTGTTTGTCGCGGTGGCGCTAGCGTCGCCCGGTGACACGTCAAACATGGCGGTTCGTTCGAACGGTTCGTAATTCCAATTCGACATCTCGTGTCTCGTGTACTCTCGACGAGTTTCCTTGTTTCTCGAGTCGAAACGTTCGAGTTGCACGCTTCGAACGCCGACGGTTAATCCAAGAAACTCTTCTTTTTCTCTCGACGCGCGGGATGTGTAAAAAGATTCCCTAGCTAGTAACATGTGGCAGGCGTACAGTTTTAATCTGCGGGGAACTGGCGGGGTCGCGGCGATCAACATTCTCATCTCGAAA